GACAAGAAAGCAGAGAAGCAGCCAAGGTAAAGAGACTGAAAAGCAGATCACAAACCAGTGAGCCTGAACAGGTGCTCTGTGAAAAATAGTACGAAAAAAGAATCCTGCAGTATTAACCTGATAGCATCACTTTGATCCCATTCCCTGCAAAAACGAGATTCTAATTCCACTGTTAAATGACATTTCTATGGGGAAAGCAAAGCAACCGTAAGAATTTATATGCAGGGCAACACCTTCTCTCAGTAGCGAAGTAGTAAGGAAGATGTTTTGATCCGACACCTGCAAGTGCTGTGTCAGAAGCTACGCTGAGTCTACTCGTCCTGACCAACCAGTACTGGCAACCAAGCCTCCAGGGCAGCTGATGCTGGAAACCTCCATTCTGCTGATGACCGCTGTGCTAGTATGATCTAAAGAATTCCTCAAATACCCGTAGATACAATCTAGATTTTTCTTTAGCTGAAATCAAGCGATTTCCAAGACATATCCTCCTTTCTGCCTCTGAAAAAGACAGAGGGGAGGGTCCCATCTGCTACCTGTATGAAGCCCCTCAGACAGAGGAGATACTCTGCAGCATCTCTAACAGCCAGAGAACAGGCACGCAAAAATGTTCTGAAGCTTCACCTTAAAAGAAACCCAAATGAACTGTCAATAAGACTCAGCCACCAAAGTTTTCAAGTGGGTGCCAGCTCTGCGCATACTTTGAAAAGACTTGCACGCGCTTGAAGAATTTATATATGCATGACGCCCTTAAGCAAGATAAATATTCCATACCAGCAGAAAAAGAATAGGTCACTGCAAGCTGCAAAGGTTTTGAAGCCCACTGATCAAGATACAGCTATTACTAAACTTTCTTAACAGGAGCAACAGCAACCAGACGTCAGAGAAAATCACGTTCTGTTTAGACAACCGAATTTTTGCTAACAAATAAAACTCACCCTTAGACTTTGTAACACTAACCAAACTACTCTTAACTACATATTTGCTTCCCCCACTTATACTTTAGGCACTACGTCGCTTTCTTGTTGGCACAAGCGATAAGGAAGAGAGCAAGGACTGGGGTTCTGTGCTTCGTCACGATGGGAAGACAGGAGAAAAGCCTGCAAGAGTTTGCTGGATAAAGGCTTCTGGGGTTGCACACGTGAAGCACGTACGTGCCTCAAGTGGGAACCACAGAGACAGAGCGAGAAAGAAGACAACGTATTTCCATTGAAAATCTTCACGTCAGTTAGAACTGCTTCTACTTAATGAAAACCTTCAGACTTTTGAATGTTCTAAAAGTGTTTCACAGCCAGTTTTGAATATGACTACATTCCAGACTTGCATGTGGTTTAATTCATTTTATACAAAACCATGTTTACATCTTCTTGATTTAATAATTTATGATTTTTGCTTCTATTATTGTTTTATGATGGGAATGATAACTATAATGTCTATCTATTCCTTTTTTACTCTTGCCAAAGCACCCCAAACTTTATTCATTTAATATGCACTTAACATGAAAGACTAGTACCTCCTTAAAGCTTCACAAATATGCAGGGGCATAAAAAGACAAGAATTACCCTCCTTCAGATGTTGCTGCTTTCATAAAAGAGCACTTTAAATCCTGTGCCTCTCTGGTTGTGTTAAAAAAAAAAATAAAATCTGCATTTGAAATATGAAGCCTATTTCATAACAGAATTATGAATTCTAAAATATCATGTGTTTTAAATAAAGCCTTTTGTACTAAAAATCACAAATTTATGTATGCTTTTACAGCTTTTAAGTGGGGACCTGCCTGAGTAGAGCAGACATGTTTTAGCGAAAAAAAAAAACCAAAAACCAACTAAAAACTGCAAAAGTAACTTGATTATTCAGGCAGAGCGGTGCGCATATAGGTGTTAAACCCCCTGCTCTTCTGGAAATCCATAGTTATTTTTGATGCCCGCAACAGCCTGACTTCAGGTGAAGTATCTCCCTTTATGAAACAAAATCCAACAGCACCCCTGGACAGTGCCAGCCACTGAACAACCAAAGCCGCTTCCTCCAACACTTGGTTTTCCCTTACATACTCCCATCGCAGGGCTTGACATTAAGACAACGCCATCATAGCCACAAGACTCATACTGCAGAAACGCCAACATTTGCCTAACACTATTTACTTCACACAAAAAAGAACCATTTTCTTTTCCTAACACAAAACACTATTCAGTGTTCAAGACTAAGTAATCTTTTGATTTTTCTTAAAGATCTATTTAACATCATTTAAATGCCCATTAAATATAATTTGAATAATTGGGATGATTAAAATGAGCCCACTAAGAAAGCGCTCTGCAATAAAGGCAAATCTCAATCCTACAAGAAAGGATTTACACTATGTCAACCATTAAATATATATTTCTTTAAAATGGCTTAAAAAACAAAACAAAACACCTAAATTGAATCTCATTTTGTTTCGAAAACCAGGAAAATCACAGTCCAAAGTTCCCCATAGCATTCAGTAAACAAACTTTTATTTTTACATTTCAGATAACACTAAGCCTAATACTTCATTATCTTTATGTAAATTTAGACTTTTAAATTGAGCTTTCCCTTCCTATTTTTGACTCTCGTTTAATTAGGAAGGCATGGTCCCTCCCTTCCCAATCCAGCTGTGTTTCTAATCTCCCTGAAAAATTCTCGAGTGCAAGTTCAGTCTGGGTACAGAAGACAAGGATCTGGCACTGAGGTGAAGAGGTTCCTGTACGCCACCACAAATCGTTATATACCATTAGGCACAATAAAGACAGAGAAGACTCTTAGTTTCAGTTTGAGGCACGGGAATATTTGTTCTAGTATCTCCATGTAAGTTCTTCTTTAAGTCAACAAAGACAGGCTGTTGCCAAATTCTAACCACAACATGAATGATGGTTTGCATATTTAAATGCTGGCAACTAAATACTGCAGGATTAAAATGTTGAGTTTATGCTAGCAGTGAAAAGTGGAGTGCAACCAAAACTAGAAGACTATAAAGCTGGTGGTAACTCTAGCTTGCTACTAATAAGGAAACATACTATTGAGTCTTAAAAGCTCTCCAGTGGCAAAGTATAAAAGTAGCACATGCTTTATCATGTCTGACATTTGCTAATCAGAAATACTACCAGTACTCTGAGACAATTAAGGTTATTTGTATTGCTGAATTCTCCTATTCTAACTTTAGCCCTCTTTAAACAATAGAAAAATACCACTACTTCCACCACTTGCTGAAATCTGAAGGGTTATAAAAGTTGCTTCTACAAGATGACTGACTCATCAGCAACAGCTAAATGCTATTTGCTTTCCTGTTGTGAAAGCTGAATACTTAAAAACACTTACTGCGATCGGGACAGCACCCTGACACAGAAAGCAATCTTCTCTGGCAACAGCACAGCAATCACTGGTGCCCAAAATCTACTGGTGTAAGGTACATCTACCTAGCATAAAGCTGTGCTGAATTTCCATTCTTCTAGACTAACCACGGCATCATTTAAACATCAAAACCAAACCCATGTTTTCAGAGCGACAAGTTTTGTACCTGTTAAAATACAGGAATAGTTGTTGGAATAGTTACCATTTAAAGCCATAAAGTCAATAACCATTCAAGGCCTTGTTGCAGTCGGCGTGACTTTCTCAGAATCGAAAAAATAGCGATGTCTGTGTTACTCCCCTTACAGCTAAATTAGGATGAATAATCATAGGAGTAACAAGGAGAACTACCAGGCATCCTGGGGGAGCCTGTAAGACTAGTTAATGTGTTAAGAGGCTTAACAGTTCCTACAACATTCACTGACAGACCCAAGTTGCAAGAGATCGTTTTTGAATTTACTTACCTTAAATGAACTGTGCACTAAAGTTTCATCTAAATCAATGACCACACACTTCTTCCCATAGTCTGATGCTGTCAGTTCTGGCAGGAGGTATTTAGCTGGTGGCTAAAAACAAAAAGAAAAGAGATAGACAACAAGAAAAAAGTAAAACCTCTATTGAAGGGGCACTCTTCTGCCAACATTACTATTCTAGTAGTTACTGGGAACTGAAATACATGACTTGAAGTTGGATGTTTTTTCTGGGCTCGTCTCAAGTACACGTATGGAAATTAATGGCTCATGCAATACCCATACAGATGCTTTTTGTTTGTTCGTTTGTTTGTTGTTTTAAAATGAGAGACTTGTTTAGAATTATCTCCAAAGCACTGGAAATGAAAATGGTAAAACACCACCACTAGCTAAAAAACATCAGTAAAAAACGGGAGATTTGATACAATATTTTTTCCAGTGACCCTCCTCCTAACGCCTCGGCTTTGGATGCTGCTGTTATCCTATTTGCAGTCAATGCCGCTTCCAGTCATATCGCACTGATGGACATTTACACAAATCGCCATTTCTGTTTGCCATGAAAGATGCTAAAGTGGAGAAACTGATCCTGAAGGAAGACAGCATTACTAATTTTATCTTCCAGGACATGTCTCCACTCTCATTTTTACCACTTGTGAGGATGCTGGACAAGAGCTTTCACGGGGATTACATTCCCAATCAAGGTATTAAAATTGCAGTAAAGAACCTAAACCAGGCTCTTCTACAGTACGCTGCCCTTACTAAAAAATGGTACCAATTACGTGAATTGACAATTTTTCTGAAAGCAATGCAGACAGTCACATAGTCTTCCGA